CACAGAGGGTGACTTCCAACTGGTGCAGCTGAGCAGCAGGTACTTTGGATAAGTGGAGACGCAGGTGTGAGCTGCTGCCCAGAGCTAGGGGAGAGGAGCAGCAGGGCCTGAGGCAAAGGCGTACCAACCACCTGCTCCCTGTCTTCTGGGAATGAAGTATGCATTTCTTCTTCTTCCTTATTTTTTTTTTAAGATTTATTTTTATTGTAAAGGCAGATTTACAGAAAGAAGGATAGAGAGAAAGTTCCTCCATCCACGGGCTCACTCCCCAAGTGGCCACAACAGCCAGAGCTGAGCTGATCCGAAGTCAAGAGCCAGGAGCTTCCTCTGGGTCTCCCACATGAGTGTAGGGTCCTAAGGCTTTGGGACATCCTTTACTGCTTTCCTATGCCCCAAGCAGGGAGCTGGATGGAAAGTGGACGAGCTGGGACACGAACTGGTGCCCATATGGGATCCTAACAAATGCAAGGCAAGGGCTTCAGCCACTAGGCTATCGCACTGGGCCTGTGTATCTCTTTTCATTGTCATTCCTCTATTTTAACCCATGCAAAAGAATTTTTATCATTTCCTTTTTAGATTATACATTTTATTATTTAATTTCTACTTTACTTGAAAGTCCAAAAGACAGACAGAAAATGAGATTTTCTATCTCTTGGCTCACCTACAAATGACAGAGAGAGTCAGCATGGATCAGGCCAAAGCCAATAGTCTGAAACCCAATCCTGGTCTTCCATGTGGGTGGCAGGGAGCTAAGTGCTTGAATCATCATCTACTACCTCCTAGAATACACATTAACCAGCTAAGTGAAGTTGGGAGCACAGCCAGGTCATGAGTCCAAACACTTTGAGATGCAGAAGACAAAATGCCCAGCCAAAGAATAAACGACTCAATGCTGCACGTTAGCTGCACTTTCGGGGAAAGTCGGAAAGGCCGGAGCATATGCCTTGGATGGGAGTTTTTAACGTGTGTCCTGGCACAAATATTCTGTTGCAAATTTTTTATTTTACATTTTCAAACACTGAAGTAATTCTTTTAAGTGGTTATTTTTATTTGTTTATAGAATCGCTTCCAGGGCAATGAATAAATTGAATACTATAGGTAATAATAAAAATATTGACTTTTGACATAAGTCTGCGCTGTGCTTCTCCTTGTCTCCAGACCTCTGGACAAGCTACAAAAGAAAGTGAACTTTTATTCCTCCCAGGTGGCCTGACTCCCGTTCTGGTTTTGTTAGCCTATTGAAATATTTGCTCTGACTTACTTTCCAGAGCTATCCTTTAAGTCTGGAATAAATTTCATTATGGATCCCCTAACACTGGTTATAAACTGTGATGAGATGTTTCAAGTTATTTTTTCCCCCCTAAGATTGAAAGCAAAAACCATCACTGTGTGGATTCTCATAAGATCATAGGAAACTTGTGTTTGGTTCAGAGTGGCTTAGACATTTTTTATTCTCATTTTCAAGTTTTTTCTTGTGAAGTTTTACAAATGAATATGCAAATTTTTTAAACTTTTATGTAATGGATCTATAAATTTTTATGTAACAATATTGCATATCTGTAAGGGATTTCCTCTGTTCGTTCCATGTTAAATGTCATCCATACCTACAGTAGCATATCTCTAAGCAACAACTCCTAAAAACAAGTAGTTTTTACACCTCGCCTGCATTTTAAAGAACAGTAGATTCTACTGTCAAAGAGAAAACACCACGTGCACCACCTTCTTCTCCAGCACAAAGAACCGACAGTGGCAGAACAAATGTACTGTTTTGTAACCCAGTACTCATCATCTTTCCTAACAGAATTGTTGTCACTTTCTTTTTTCCAGGAAAATGTGCCCATCTCCTAGTATCACGATGGTCAGAAAGAACCGATCTCTCATCCAGTGATTTGCAACGTTGTCCCCACAGCTGCACCCTCAGGGTTGGGTGGGTGTTCACCACGCAGCCAGACACTGGTGAAGATGCCTATTTCCCACCCTGGAATCACTGCATCCCAGTCCTGGCTCTGCTCCGGATCCCTACTTCCTGCTAATGTGCCCTTGGCAGAGATGGGGGCAGCAGTAGATGGCTCAAGTATGTGATGCCTGCTACCATCATGGGAGACCTGGAGTGAGTTTCAAGTTCCTGGCCTTATCCCACTTGCTGTAAACACTGGAGAAGTGAATAGGCAGATGGGAAACCTCTCAGTAAGCTGCCTCTGTCTCTCAAAACATAGGTAAATACGTAAAAATAAAATAAACAGAAGAGCCACAACTACCTAAGGAGTGTGAAAGCGCACTGAATGGGGCCAGTGCCGTGCTACACCTGGTTAAACCTCCACCTTTGACACTGGTACCAGCATCCCATACGGGCTCTGGCTGGCATCCTGGCTGCTCCTCAGCCTGTCCAGCCCCCTTCTAATGCACCTGGGAATGTAGAAAGGAGAGTCCAATGGCGTGGGCCTCGGCACCCACATGGGACACTGGCAGGAAGCAACAGGTTCCTGGCTTTGGCTGACCTAGCCTGGCTAGGTCACTGGCTTGGGGAACGAACCAGTGGGCAAGCTCTCAATCTCACGCTGGCTCTCTGTTTCTCTGTAACAGCTAGGCAGAAACAAAAATGGTGTCTGTCTCAACCATCGACTTTTTCTCCTGTCATTTTACCCTAAACAACACACACCACGCCATTTTATACGCCAGTGACTGGCACCCTGGGCACGGGTATCGCGGGCATTCTGGAACCACTGCCCAGGCACGGGAGGGCCAACTCGGTTACTCGGGCCTTTCTCGCATGGTTTTAACAATCTTCGCTATCACATAAAGGCCCACATACTGATAATGCATGAATGACGTCGCGACTCTCACCCACTCGGACCCCTTCCCAGCTCACCTCGAGTGTCCAGGCTCGCCAGCCCCGAGGAAGCTCCGAGCCTCGGCCTCCCTCCCAGGACGCGCCATGCAGCCCCTGCACAGCGCAGGCCGCAGGTGAGGAAACGGAAAAATGGCGACGCGGCTTCCTGAGGTCTCCGGCAGCGAGCGACGCGGAAGGACACGGGGCCGCCTTCGAGCAGGCCCAGAACCCCGAGGAAGTCCAGGCGGCTGGGGCCGACAGCGCGCATGCGCGCCGAGTGTCTCCGCGTGGCCCTCGGTGCCCCGGGGAGGGCTGGTCAGGTGGCTGGACTGGTCACGTGAGGGAGCCCGAGCCAGCGCGGGAACCGGAGGGCGGACACCGCGTTGCTGCTTCTCGTAATTCCTTGGGCTAAGGGAGGCGTGAGGAGCTGCGGTGCCCGATTTGGGGAGCGTTGGTTATTGCGTGAAGCCCTTAGCAGATGCATCTGGCACAAAATAAGGGAGGTGGGGGCACTGCTGATTCCGTAGTTAGGTCGTGGACTTCCAGCAACTTGATTGTTCTCCCTCAAGGTTTGGAAGCCACCAAAAGTGGCAAATTCATGAAATGACTCCAAGTTTGATTCACAAGTCTGTGGTAGTTCCAACAAACCATATAGCACAAAGATAAAAAATGATAACATTAAAGCATAGGGCCCAGTACGCGGTAGCCTAGTGGCTTAAGTCCTCACCTTGCACACTGCAGGATCCCATATGGGCGCCAGTTCTAATCCCAGCAGCCCCGCTTCCCATCCAGCTCCCTGTATGTGGCCTGGCAAAGCAGTCAAGGACGGCCTTGGGACCCTGCACTCGCGTGGGGGACCTGGAAGAGGCTCCTGGCTCCTGGCTTTGGATTGGCTCAGCTCCAGCCGTTGCGGTTACTTGGGGAGTGATTCTTTGGGAGGAAGATCTTCCTCTCTGTCTCTCCTCCTCTCTGTATATCTGATTTCCCAATGAAAATAAAATAAATCTATAAAAAGAGAAATTAAAACATAAATGATAAGGCTGTTATTACTGATTGTCATTGTGGCAGCAATGGATGTGTCTCCTGCCTTTGGGAGAGCTGTTACTGCTTGAGCCCAAGAAGAACCAAAATAGTCAATGTTTAGCAATAAAGCATCCAGAAAAAGAAAAAAAAAAAAAAGAAAGAAAGAATGATTGCAGCAGACATTGTGGTATAGTGGGCTAAGTCACTTAGCTGCAATGCAGGCTTCCCACTTAGCTGCAATGTCATGCTCTGATGTTGAGATTCGGTTGTGATGGCTTCGTGTCCCTGGTCACGGGATCTCAACACATAGTAGGGTGATGTATGGTTAACCAATCAGCTTTATAATGATTCAGCCCCCATCTTCGGAGGAGGGAAAGCTGAACTCAGCTTGAATCTCCCTCCCAGGGCCTGGAACTCCCTAAGCAAGGCTGCTTTTCCTGATGTTCTCATGAACACCAGATGGTGTGTTCTCCTTCACACTCCTGAAATGAGTCACAGGGATTTCCACTCTCACAGCCTTCACTGATTTTCCCCAGGGCAGTTCTTCTGTTCCTAGCCCAGGCTGTGGGGCTCCCCCCAGACCTTGCTCCCCAGTCACACCCGCCATCTTTTGCTCCCACTAATGTTTCATGTCATTCTCCTTGGCTGCTTACATTGGCTCTGTGGTCCAGAGCTTCGTCTGCACATTGTCTTCCTCTGGATTGCATTCACTCATGGATTCAAAAAATATTTACTGAGAAACTACTAAAAGCAAAGCCTATTAGTTCTGAGGGATAGATATTCAGCAGGAAAAGAAACTCACAGAACTCTACCTCCTGGGTATGGCATCGTTTAGCTAACAAACAGTAAGTAAGCAAACACACCATGAGGACCTTGCTGGAGATGAATATTGAGAATGAAAATAAAACAGTAGAGGATGGCCAGGGTCAAGATGAGAGTAGGGCATTATTTGATAGAGAGCAGAAAATCTCTTTAAGGAGGTCATGTTTAAAAAAACATGAAAAAATTCATGAAAATGTGAAGACCAGCAAAATCCAGCGCACGGGCCCTGAGCTCCACTCAGTTTGTTGTGCTGGCAAAATGCAAGAAGGTCCTGGTGGCTGGAGCAGAAAGCCGCAACAAGGAGCGGGAAGAGAGTATTGCTTACCATGGCAATGAGATCCAACTGTGAAGAGTGGCAGCAAACCCTGTGCCACTTCTTGCATATTTCCAGACATTCCACCACTTTTTCTTCTGGTGTTTTGCTATCATCTCTGAAGTGAGCTGAGGCAAAGGGAGAAAAAGAAAATCCTTCTTCACTTTTGACTACAGTAGCGCATAAAAAGCATCATATGAAATTCACTCATTCAGTCCTCTCCATGCACTGACCCAAACTGAGGTCAAAGTTGACAAGGGTTTGGAAGAAGACGGCGGCAGGCAGATGTTCTGCTGTTCTCCAAAGCCTCCAGTTGTTTTATTGTCCTTGGAGCACGTTTCCCAGTGAGTCGGCCTCTGCCCTTGGGGTCAGGTTTCTCCCACGCTGTTCCTTGTTCCTCTGCTGGCACAGTTCCCCCTTGCTGACTTCCGACCCCGGGAGCCCGTGCTGAGAGGCAGATGACACCTTCAAAACCCACGTGCAGCATGAGCCATGGCCACTGTGACCCCAGGCCTTTGACCCTGTCCCCTGTGACCTTCACAGAGGCTTGGCCTTTGACCCCCGCTTGAGACCCTCCCAGAGCCTTGGCCTTGGATTCTGTCCCCTGTGACCGTTCCAGAGCCTTGGCCTTAGATTTTGTCCCCTGTGACCCTTCCAGAGCCGTGGCCTTTCAATCAGTGACTCATCAACATGAGCGCATGATGGCTTCTGAGGCTTCTTTCAAAAGACAATGTCTCTTGAAAAAAAAAAAAAAAAGACAATGTCACGAGATCTCTGGAGCATCGAACCAAGCTGCCAGATTTTCTTTCTCTGGTCATTTTGTCTTTGGTTTCTTTATAGTCACAACTTCAAGGAAGGTGTGTGCTTTAGTTTAACATCTGATTTTCACCCCATTGTTACTTTGTCGTTAAACAAATGTTCATGTACTGACTAGGCTCTACGCTTTATGTTGCATGAGGAAGGAACTGCACCTGTAGGTTAAGAAAGGACCTGAGGGACACACGGACTCCTCCAGGTCCCTTGCACACTGAGGACCTTTGTCATTAGTTGCCCTTGCTTTGCTTTTGGCAAAGAAAATGCTGTTGTTAACAGCTTAGGCTACGAAGGTCTTCTTCTTTGTGGAAGCGTGGAGAACAAAACGGCCCTCCAGTTTGGCCAGCTGCATCTTTAGGTGTGATCACGGAGCTCTTCACCTGCACAGTCAAAAAGGAAAGCAATGCTTTTGCTTTTTTTTTTTTTTCAAAGACATTCAAATGCACAGCGCAAGGTGTCGGTCCTTCCTACGAAGCGGCTTAGTCACTGTACCGTAATGCTGCCCCCACCGAAGACACCTTATTTTCTTCTTAGTAAGTTTATGCAGTGGTTTTGTACATACTGAATTCTTGTGCATAAACAAGGTAATACATCCCCTACCTTCTTACCTCGCCAATTGAGTAGATACGGTAACTAAAGATATTGATTGCAATTTAACTTTTCATTTTAAATCACTTGAACATAGGACTTGTCCAATCCTAATTGTAATTTAAAAAAAAAAAGTTGTATATTTTATTTAGTGCTGGGGCATTAACATTTCAGAGACTGAGGCAATTCAGAGGGGATGCTTACGCAAGGCTGCCCTGCAAGTACGGGAACCATGTTCTGCCTGGGCATTTCCTTACCACCGCCTTGGACAACACTTCGAGGCAAGATTCTCAAACTAGTGTGCCTGTATATGTTCGAAATTTTGGATCGATTTCCATTTGAAAACGTCTTATTGCTGCCTTTAAAATATTTTTTAAATTTTATGGCTGACTTTGACTTTGTTTGAAGTTGGTCTTTCTGGGTCCTCTCTCCCCTACTGTCAATAACCAATCTGGGTTCCCAGACGCTTACAGAGAGGACATCTGTTTGATTCTTTTTTTCCCCCCTCAGGTTTCTGACTACTGTGTTCGGATTCTGTTGTCATGTTTTGAGTTAACCCGCTGCCAGATGTGCTGTAAGAGCCTGGAACACACACCTTCTGCCAGACACAGTCATGATTTCATGACCTTGTCAGAGTTGTGGACTCTTTCTGGGACCTGACAGACAAGCACCTCCACAAAAGGAGTATTTACCCAATACTAAAACTGCCAAGAAAAACAGAAAGAAAACAGAAAGATTTTAAAATGGTGGAATCATTGGAAGATTTTTTTTGGGGGGGGGGGGGAAGTTACTGTTTAGGAGAGTCCAGGAACTTGATTCCTACTATCTGGTTAGCAAACACAGATCTAATATCCGAACTAAGGCAAAACCTTGAACTTCTCACTTCCTAGACACCATGGGTTAAAACCAGGACGGACTTGTGACAAAGGAATCAACATTGTGATCTCAGTGGGAGTCTCGGTAGGGTGGTAGCCCTTTGGATTACAAAATCATCTCTGGTAATTAAACACATTTGGCCAATTTAGTGTGTGGGAGAAGTCACAGAAGAACAAGAGGATGATCTGATTTGGGGCTGGAAGAAGGGTGGTCTTGCTAAGTTGGGGTCAGCTCTCGGGCAGGAGGCAGGGACAGAAGCAAGCACATTGTTTGGCAGGATAACGTAAGTCCTGGGTAATCAGTGAACTCATATCATACCTTGACATTCTCGTGACCCCCTAGTCCCAGCACAAACAGGGAGAGGCAATGGAGGACAGGTGCACAGGACTGGTCTCTTTTCTCTCTCCCTTTTGTGTCTCTGCCTGATGACTGGCCATCTGACTACTCCACCCACAAACTAACAAACCACAGGCTATTTTTTTTTCTTTCTCCTTATCTCTGTGATTTCAATGAAGGACTCTCCTAAATCTTTATGATTTTAACATGCAACATGTAACTCCAAGTGTTCCACAGTAGACATCATTGGCAGAACAGTGTTTAAATGTTTTTAAAATTTTATGCAAAGTTCAGAATTACAGAGAGATAGAGAAAACTTCTGGTTCACTTTCCATATGATTCCAATAGCCCAAGGTGAACCAGGCCAAAGCCAGGAACCTAAGAGCTCCATTCAGATATCCCACCCTGGTATTGGGGCTAAAGTACCTGGGCCACCATCTGCTGCTTTCTTGGGTTCATTAGCAGGAACCTGGATTAGAATTGGAACAGTGGGACTCATACCAGTACTCCAATATTGGGTACTGGTGACCCAACTGTGAACTATACCACTAATTGGCCCTTGGAGCATATTTGATCATTAAACCCTGATATTGTCATTTTTAAGTAAAAGTGTCTTAACTTGAACTGTGACAAACATATATATGGAATTAATACAAACCTGCATTGTTTCAAAATGAAGATTAATAATTCAAAGGCAGTATAGTCCTAAAGTTATAGCTTTGTTGGATTTGAATCATCCTGGTGAATATCAAAGCCATATTTATACATTTTCATTTAAATAATTTTCCTTGAATTCCCTGAAAAATCTCCACAGTGACTTGCATTAGGGTTCTATCCATGATATTATTATTTTATTATCAACAGCTTCGATAAAAACTAGGAATGCATGCTTATCAAATAGAGCAAACGCCACAAGCCAGAGTAGATTACAGATTTGATGTGTGGCAGAAGGTGATCCCAATGACAGTACTTCTGGATGAAGTTCAGCAAGCCAAGTCCACTGAACACTGCAGTCTAAGCTGAGGAGGAGGAACATGTGGCTGAGGAGCTTGTGTGAAGAATATTTAGCTGTTCCAAATTCTTCAAATTGACAACAAACTTAACAAAAGATCAAGCTGAAGACGTTGAGGCTGCAAGGAGGTTCGAGGAGGTATGGCATGTGTGCTGTGAGGCACAGTGAAGCCCGTTTGCACGCTGTGTGCAACTCTGCAAGAAGCAGCCTTGAACAAGATTATGCTTGTGCGATCCCCATCCTTTGTGAGGGACGGGCTGGTGTGTAGGAGAACGTGAATGGGCGTCACACCCCAAACGCCCCAGTGCCGTAAGTGCAACATGAAACACTTGAAGTGTAATTCAGGAATCGTTGCACAGTTCAACAATACTCATCAACAGTCTCTTCCAAATTCTTATCATTCCACATAATTCTTTCTCGCTGACAAAGTTCCAACATGTTCCTTGGCAACAGTGCTCCTCTCACTGGTCCCTTCTTCTTGGTTTCTATTGACAAAAACCTTGTTCAAAACAACAAATTCTGACGGGGAGGCCATCAGGCTCAAGTCACTGCAGCACGTTGAAATCATCATGAATAAATCAAAGCCCAGTGTGTACAATACACTGAAACCATATTGATGAGAAGCCACCAGCTAATCCCTAATAGCAACTTCCCATTAACCAAACAAAATTGTCTTTCTTGTCTGACTTCTTCAATCAGATTATAAAAATTGTCCATCCTGCCTGTTCCAACAGAGTGCCAACCCACTTGACAAATGGCTGAATACTCAAACTTGTTAAAATTTAATTGTGCCCTGACCAAGGGTTTTCTTTCTTTTTTAGACTTGCTGCACATATGGCTAATATTTTTGTGTTATGTATTTCAATACTTTTGGCTGGATGGATTTCAAATATTCTCACCATGGAAGATGCCAAATATTTGAAGTGATAGATGGGTGGGTTGGTTTGATTTTTTTCATTCAACATTGTATTTAAAAAGCCTATCACTTTGTATGCCATAAATATGTGGTTGTAATTTATTCATACTAGTGAAGAGCAGATTACAGAAAATGAGTGTTTAGAAATATAAAACCTGGTAAATGTCTTGTAAGCTAGATAGTTGATAAATTTTCTGTCCTAAATATCAGATGTTTTTGATGTTGATATGAAACTGTTACGTGGACTGCTATGAAAAAAAAATCTTAATAATTAAGAAAAAGAGGAAAATCCCATTGGAATAAAATGTTTACATATACTTTCTCTCTCAAGAATTTCAGCCACAATCCACATCCCACATACAGTAAAAACTTGAGGATTTGAGTTCAGGCATTTGACTCCAGAGCTTGATTTTATATTATTGTTTGTCCTTGTCCAGCTTCTCTGTTTCCACGTCCATCTTTTTGGATGTAAATATTTGGTTCTCTCCTGATTTCTAATAACACCGTATTTGTCAATTCACTGAAATATGAAATCTTAATTTCGATTTCTTAGGATTGATTTAAACACTAATATTTGATCCTATGCTACTTAACTGTAATAAGCTCACCCAAAGCCCGTTTCAGGGGATACGGAAGGAATACTGAAAAGATGAACGGAAACAGTCAATAAAATGACAGCATACAAAAACTGTTACAAACAATAGCTGGATGACTATGCTTCAGAGGAATTAACTGGGATATTCCAAACAAACCATTTGCAAGGTCCTCAAAGAAATTAGTGAAAACAAAGGCCTGGGAAGAGATGCAAAATATCAGAAGTGTTCACCCTGTGCTTGTCAAATCCAGCTCCTCTCAGGCAAGCACCAGGGGGAATCCAGGTTGGTGGAGTCACACTTTGGTCCCTTAATCTCCAGGTTCTACCACATTCCCTGGATGTCAGGCCCTACTTCTGCTCAGGGGAACCAGCGTCTGCTAAGCCCAGTTTGGGCAAGCATGTGTCTTCCTCTTGAGCCTCTTGTCCGTTGTGAGCCTGGTGGCCAAGGTCTGGGGACGGGGCAATTTGGAGAAATTATGTGTTCGCTCTCTGGCCATTTATAAGACGAATACACTGTGGCATCTATTGCTCCACCTTAATCGGAAACAGAAGAGATCTCTCTTTATATCAAAAGTGGATTCTTCTTCCAACTGATTGTTTGAAATCCCCATGAAATTGCTTTCACACTTATCATAGATGGCAAAGATAATGTTGTTCATGAAATACAAAAGAATGCAAACTGATACAAATCAACATGTCAGATAAAGGGGTAAGACATGTGCATTTCTGATTCTGCCAGACAGAGGAAGTGATTTTGCAGTGTGTAGCATTGCGCAGGACAGTGAAAATTCGTAACATATAATTTGTAAAAAGGAAAGCTTTTGCTACTCCTGCCAATCAATGATTTAGTTTAGAAAATATTGAAGCACAAAACAGATGAAAAAACTGAGTCATGCAGAAAAACAAACTAGCGCAGGTTCATCCTCCCCCTCCTTTTTTTCCTAGTTAAAGGAAAGAAGCACTGAATGAATGCATGGGAAGCTTCTTAAAGCACAGAGAAGGTTCAAGAAAGCAATCTGACTGCAGCTAAGCATCACCGAGCGGCACCTGCCCAACACAGGCAGTCAGTTCTAGACAATCAGTTGAAATGAGGCCACCACCTCATTCTTTGAGTAAAGATCAGGAACACAAATATAAAAGGATGGTCTGGGGCTCTGCACCTGCTAGTTTTTCTGTATCCTTCCCTGACATTTGTAAATACAAGTCTTAGCACTGAAAACTGACTGGGTTTTTCCGGTCCAGTGATGAAGTCCCAATCACTGTTCTTCCCAGGTTACAACTCTAGGTTAAGTCAGTTGATAACCCAAGTCAATAATACTGTGCCACCAAGTAGGAACACTCGCTGTAACAATGGTAACTAACAGTGGCATGCATGCATCATCTGAAACCCTTTACAAATTTCACTTCATGCTGGCATCACAAGAGCATTGTGGCTGACACTGTGGCTCAACAGGTTAATCCTCTGCCTTCAAACTCCAGCATCCCTTATGGGCACTGGTTCACGTTCCAGCTGCTCCCCCTTCCAATCCAGCTCCCTGCTTATGTCCTGGGAAAGCAGCAGAGGATGGCCCAAATTATTGGGACTTTGCAACCATATGGGAGACCCAGAGTAAGCACCTGTCTGTCAGCTCAGCTCCAGCTGTTGCTGCCATTTGGGGGGGTGAACCAGCAAATGGAAGATCTTCCTCTCTGTTTTTCCTTCTCTCTGTAAATCTGCCTTTCCAATAAAAATAAAACTTGTGGGAAAATATAGGCATTTTTGTAATCCCTGCTTCTAAAAAGAAAGAGAAAATGATTGGCTTGAGCTGTATCACCAGTGAAGTGCAGCGCTGGAAGTCAAGGTCACATGTGACCCCAGGGCCACACACTTCACCACTCAGCTTTTCTGCTTGATATATGCATTTTCAGCTTGATATATGTATTGCTTACTAAGTGCTGGAGATTCCTGGAGAGCTAGGACTTTCTGCCCTACCGATAACTTTCCACAATCCCTAGCTTGTGTTGCACGTAAAAATACGCTTTCTCCTCTGCCACAGCTATCACTTTCAAATGGACACCACCTATTTCCTTTTCCCTTCAATGAACATCTGTTTCACAGCATCTAGGTGACCTGGATAGAACACTGCAACTGGAGAGAGGTGGGTGGCATTACAATGAATTCAAGCCAAGGCAAACCTTGAAACCTAGCAGCCCTCACACTCCCCAAGACAGTGCACAATATTGTGTGGTAGACCAGATTCGATTCAGCCATCCAATAACTTGTCACTGCCTGGCTTCCCTAAGAGAGCGTACTGTGTGTGAGCGTGAGTGCGCATAAAACTAAGTTTTCTTTCCACCTTTTTATCCCAGGCCAAATGGCCCTAGGGCTGTAACTTAAAAGCATTGTAGGTGGAAACAATTCTGTTTACTCTTCTATCACACATTTTATGTAGAAAGGTATGATTTTCTATTCTTGGAAAAAAAAAGGACCAAAGGACAAAATTAATTTTATTTCATATAATAGAGATCATTTATTACCGTTCGACTTTTGAAACAACTGCTGTGTGACACGTCAATTTATCCAGGTCTGCAGATGCCGTCCAGGTGGGTTAGGATGGTCATTGGAATTGACATTCTACTGGGAACAAGAGCTTACCTCTGGGTTGGACGTAATCTGTCCCTGAATGCATAGGTCTCCTTGTCCTCGCTGTGAAACTCATAACATGGAACAGTATGTCTTAATTACTATGTATCCTTCCATTCTTTATTCATTGACATATTCCAGCTGGGCTCTGAGAGGTCTGTGAGGTATGCTGCCAGCTGTGGGATGCAGATTGCAACCTCACGCAGAAAATGAAACATACGGGTAGACTAAGGTCTTCTTTAAAGTATGAAAACTGTTACAAAACCACATTGGAAACACTGAGGGATCATCACAAGGCATAGGTCACTAAGTGGGCAGAATTTGGTGTAGCCAGTAAGACAACCCTTGTGATACCTGCATTTCCTTTTGCAATGCCTGAATTTGAGGATGTTCTGCCCTGATTCCAGCTCCTTGGTACTATGCACGCTGGGAGGTACCAGGTGAGAACCCAAGTTGCTGGTTCCTTACCATCCCTGGGGCAGACCCAGACAGAGCGATTTGCACCATCGTAGAATCAAAATTTATGTCCACTTGATGGCCTGTTTCCACCACTCTTCGTCCCATAGACACTAAGTCAGGTTGTAATCTTTTTGATTATAGAGCATGTTCTCTTGCTGCTCCTGACACATAATTTGTGCTTTATAAATACGTACTGGTTTTTAAAGAAACAGTATGGTAAAATAAATGGAGAATTTATGTGCAGATAAATCTGGAAATACTTTACCAAGATGATGGCTTCTCAACCATGGCTTGGTATTTCTCTACTATGAGCGCTTCTTACACAGGGTAGCCTTAAGTTAACTTTACGGAATTGTGACAGAACACGCTTCCCAAGGCTATGTAACCTCTATTTTTCTCATAAAAGTGAACCTCTAGGGCACACTAATTTTCCAGTAAATGCCTGGCGAATCTTGAGCATCTCAGAGAACTGCTTTCCACTTTCGTTGTCAGTTCTGATTTCCCTTAAGATACACAATGCCATGAAACAATTCCGTTCATGGACTAGCAGGCATAGGAGGGAGTACAAAAGCTTCTCATTCCAGCATTTTCCAGCAAAGGGACTTGAGGATGTAACTTGACCTTCTTTTGGAGAGGATGAGGAAGAACTGACAAACGTCTACATTGGACACGATGGGACCTTTCGGTAACTAAAAAGCTCATACAAAATATAAGTCAAATAGATATACGGGTAAATATGTACATACATATATTCCCAAAGATGACTGTATATCGGGAACTGAAGATACATTGCAGTATGCATCTCTACTCCTGACTAAAACGAGAACTCCCAGTAAAACTGTTAAATATACCTTGATAATATGACACTGGATTTTCCACCATTGCCAGCACCTACCATGCCATGACATACTTAAATAGCAGAATGTTGGACCTGTGGCTGTCGGCTGAAGCACTACAGTATTGTAACAAGGGGGGAAAGAAGAGGAGTGGGGGTAGGAGTGAGGGAAGGTGTGGGGGGGAGGAATCCCCATAGGGGATCCCTACAAAACCATATCATGGAAAATAATAACAATAAAAAAGTTCTGAATGTGGAACTTACATAGGCTGCAAGCAGGAATGGGACCTTCCAGTCATGTTTGGCAGCTCTCTAAAGCGATGGGCACCAACCAGGCAGGAATGGAAAATCCTGCTTTGGCAGAAAAAAGGAAAGGTTTCACGGTTAAAGGTGTGGCAAAAAAAAAAAAGTTTTGTAAATGAATGCATAAATCAGTCAGCTTTTATTAACTTAGCCAAAAACAGTTCTATGAAAATAAAAAAAAACTTAGCTGGAGTTTAGAACAAATTATAAATCACTCACTAATTTAATGATGTATAATCCATATACAGAAAAGTGCAGAAACCTTCAGCATACAGCTCAGTGAGTGTCCTTTGCTGAACACGCCCTTGTGACTTATCTAAATCCAGAAACAAGACGTTACCAGCATGCCAGAAGCCCCTGTCCTCTTCGTCACTGCCCGCCCGAACCAAGTCAGCAATTTTTCTCTTACCCATGTGTATCAATTCTGCCTGTTTCTGATTCTTTTGTAAACAGAGTAACTATAAAGTGAAAAGCACAGTATTGTTTTGTATCTAGCTTCTCCTGGCCACTATTTTGGTAGGTAAAGTTCTAGCTTTTTCTTGCTCACTACCATATAGTATTCCATTATGTAACGATACAGCAGTTGAAGCATATTTCTTGAATTAACAGATATTTGTGTAATGTACAAGTCTCACTTACTAATAATACAGCTACACACATTCTCATAATTTTGGTTTTTATGCGCCTATGTTTCTGTTGGTCATATGCCTCGAAATGGAATTTTTAGTTCATAAAATAGGTATCTATTCAGATTGAATAGGCATTTCTCCCAGATTGGTATGTCAATTTAAATTTCTAACTATAGTATGAGAATTCAGACTATTCTACATTCTTCTCAGCAGTTGTTATATATCTTTTCTTTTTTTTTTTTTGTCAAGTGTCTGTTCAAATCTTTTGTCCCTATTTAACTGGTTTGTCTGATTTTATGGTTCATTTCTGTATGTTCATACATATTCAAAATATGCATATAAGGCCCAGTGCAGTGGCCTAGTGGCTGAAGTCCTCGCCTTGAACACCCCAGGATCCCATATGGGCACCGGTTCTATCCCAGCAGCTCCACTTCCCATCCAGCTTCCTGCTTGTGGCCTGGGAAAGCAGTCAAGGATGGCCCAAAACCTTGGGACCCTGCGCCCACGTGGGAGACCCGGAAGAGGTTCCTGGTTCCTGGCTTCAGATTGGCACAGCACCAGTTATTGTGGTCACCTGGGGAGTGAATCATCGGACGGAAGATCTTCCTCTCTGTCTCTCCTCCTCTCTGTATATCTGACTTTGTAATAAAAATAAATAAATAAATCTAAAAAAACTATATGCATATATACTCATAAGACCTCTGTTAAAAGATTGCATTTGCCTTTGTCCACTTGATAGGTTGCCTTTTCATTTTCTTAATAGTTGCAATTTGGTACATGCAACCTTTCAATTGTAATATAACGATATGTATTACATTTTTATGGTTAGTACTTTTGGGTTTGTTCTAGTATTTTCTTCCTCAAACATTTTTTGCTTCGCTTTGTACTTAGAACTGGAAGCTATCTGCAATCAATTCATTTTGATGATAGCTAGGCACTAAGAAATATTTGTATATGTATGTGTGTATACACTTTGCCTGGCATCATATGTTTTTTAAAAGGTATCCCAACAATAATCTGTTGCATATTAACCTAACATATGGAATGTTTCGAGATAGTCCACTGATCAGTATTGGATTTATCATCACGCTCTTTCTATATTCTCTCACTTATCACAGCTCTATAACTGGTCTAGCTACTCAGTCGTTTTAATTCTCCCATAGTGATTCTTGATCTTATTCCATATTGTCACAATGACCCTTGGTTTTTTTCCTTGCGTTTCTCTGTTAATTTTATAATCAGCTTTTTGAGTTTCATAGAAAGGTTGTTTTGATTCATGTTTTTAAACATGTATTTTAACAAAGGAAACACTAAAATTTCTTCATTTTTTTTCCTCTTGTTTAATTTCCTCAATAATGCTTGTTATTTTCCGTTATTATCAGCCTGCTTTTGTTTATTACTTATTTTTTTTCTTGGTATATAGATTCCAACTGATTTTTGCAAGTTGACCTGCTATATAGCAACTTTGTGAAATTTAATGTTATATAGATTGTTTTGATCTCTTTTTTTTTTTTTTTTTTTATTATTTTCTCATTGGAAAGGCAGATATACAGAGAGGAGAGACAGAGAGGAAGATCTTCCATCCGATGATTCACTCCCCAAGTGAGCGCAACGGGCCGATGCTATGCCTATCCGAAGCCAGGAGCCTCTTCCGGGTCTCCCACGCAGGTGCAGGGTCCCAAAGCCTTGGGCCATCCTCGACTGCTTTCCCGGGCCACAGGCAGGGAGCTGGAAGGGAAGCGGGGCTGCCGGGATTAGAACCGGCGCCCATATGGGATCCCGGGCGTGCTAGGCGAGGACCTTAACCACTTGCGCCACCGCGCCGGGCCCGATTGTTTTGATTTCTTACGTAAATAGTTATATCATCTCTGAATAAGTCAATTTCTGCTTTCCTATATGTTTTAATGCTTTTATTTTGCTAACCAATTAAATTACTTAGGTCTGAATTTAGGGTAATGCTGAATGTAAGATAGATAGTATATATGCTTCAATTCCAGCGTCAAGGAAGGCTTTGAATGTTTCATCATCTACCAAGTGTTTTCCACACCATCTTTGTAGTTTCCTTCTATCAGATTAAGAAATTTCCATCCATTTCTAGTTCCTTGAGAAAATTAGGGCCACTACTGAATCACAGAAGATATAATATTTGAATTTTTTATGATTCATAATTTCTGTTTTGTTCTCATGTACAACAAAATGTGCTGAATTTGTATCTGTAATAATCAGACAGGCATTCCTAGAATAAATTTAGCCACTATTATTATCCTATGTATATTTCACTGCACACCATTTATTGAGAACATGCTTGATTCTACATAATTGAGACACTGACTTTGTAGATTTTCTTCTTTATAACAGCTCTGTCATGTGTTGGAAATCAAGCTTATATTGCTTTAATAAAACGAAATACAAAGATTTGCCACTTTTTGAGAACTTTAGGTGAATTTATGTGAGATTGGTTTTCTTTGCTTTAAAAATGTTTGGTATAATTCCATGGTAAAGCCATCTGAATAAACCATGAAATTATTTTTGGAAGGAGTTTAAGTTATACATTCAATGACTTATGCAGCTATTTAGAGATTTTATATTTTTTCTTTTATTATATTGAGTTTCACTTAGAGCATTTCCTCTGTCTTTTCAATTTCATTTCCATAAAGTTGTCAGTCATGCGGTATTATTGTCTTTGCAATGCCTATATGATGTACTTCAACAATTATTTTTCATTATTCTTATTAGCGTTTGTTTTTCTATTTTCACTTCCTCATCTTCTCTTTTAATCATATGGATACAAATATATACATTTCATTTATCTTTTTTTTTAATCGGAAAGGCACATTAGATTTTTTGGAGAGATGGAAAGACAAAGAGAAAGATCTTCCATCTGCTTGTTCACTCCCCAAATGTCGGCAAGAGCTGGAACTACTCATTGGTCTTTTTCATTTAAGTCAGCAACAAAGTTAAGATTTTAATCCAAAATCCATGCAGACAGTCTGATGTTGTAAGTTTCATTTTCAACATTGTTTCAACAAGGTAGGCATTTGCAAAGTGTTCATTTGTTTGAGATGTCATTCCTGTTAACATTTGATAAAACTCCAATGACTTCATTATTCTCCGACTCACCTTTCACCAAAATTAGATGCTTTTTTTTCTTTTGCTTCAATTTTGGATGAATTCACGTTGCTGAGATATATGCTCTTTACAAACTGACTCAAACTTGAGTGCCTCACACTCAATCTGCTCATCCCACAGTGTCTGTGTTTGAGTCCCAGTTTCTCTATTTCCAATTCACTTTCTTGTTAATGCTTACCCAGAGAGGCATGGAGTGATGGCCGAAGTAGCTGGGTCCATGACCACACTACACATTTGGGCTGAGTTCTTGGCTGTTTGCTTTGTCCTGGTATGGTTCTGGTTGTTGCATTTGGGAAATGAACAAGTGAATGAATGAAAGTTCTCCGCATCTATCTCTCTGACACTTGACATATCTCCAAATCTCTAAAGAAACTTGGTTTTTTGCTTGTTTTAAAACGCAGCCACTTCTTCTGCTGCAGGATTCCTTGAAGCAGGCTTTTGGCTCCTTTCAGATCTGAGAGATCATGGGTTTTTGAGGAGATAGTTTTTGAACCTTATCTTTCTGCTTCTTTCCCCCCTTGTCACTGGAACGTTCTGTTCCCCAGTCTCTTCCACACGCGCATTAACTCTACAAAGAAACAAGATGTGATATCATCAACCTCCTCTCAACTACTTTTCACTTTCTCAGTGATTTCCTATTCTGACAACTGATGGAAGAAGTTCTGATGCGATTGGTTCCTCTGCTTAACAAAGAGGCTTCCCCACTGGACTCTGACACCATAGCAGACACTGGAAATCTTCACCAGAATGAAGCCCTGCCAGGCTGCCCAACACTGCTCTCCTGCATCTCCAAGAGCATGGCTTCTTCAGAACTGAAACAGTTACCTGTCCTTTTTTCTCTGTGGAGGATCTTACTTTGCAGTTCATCCTGAAAGTTTTTTGGTGAGAGATGCATTCTCTAGGTTACTTTGTATTAGTCAGTATGGTCTCTCTCTCTCTCTCTCTCTCTCTCTCTCTCTCTCTCTCTCTTTTAGCTGCACTCCAAAAAAAACAGAGGAAAACATAGCCAAATTTAGCATGGAGATGCGTTTATTTTTCAAAAGTGTGTTTTATGTTTTTATATATTGAGAAACTCGGTGTCCTAGGAAATGGAACTTGTTGCCAACATGATGTGGCCTTTATTTTCATGGGACAGGAATTTAAACTCACTTGCATCCGAATGGTTTTAAATAGAAGAAAAGAAAGACTATGCCCAATGACTCACTATATTGTGATTAGTTTTCCTTTGATTGCTTCTCCATTTCTAATATGCTTCTCTCCTGTCACAGCTCATAAGTGGAAAGCTTTCAGAAATCTC